CCCTAAACCCTAAACCCTGTACTTTGAACCCTGAGCCCTTGTATAGACTGCCGGGCTTCGGTTCGGACTGGGAGGCTTCCTGGGCAGCTTCGACAGTTCAGGGTTTAGGGTTTAGGGTTTAGGGTTTAGGGTTTAGGGTTTAGGGTTTAGGGTTTGGGAGGCTTCCTGGGCAGCTTCGACCCGCACTTTCTGGTCTTCGAGTTCGTCACGGGCTTCCTGCTGCGTCCACGACAGGCATGGGGTTTAGGGAGTTGGGGTTTTAGGATTTTAGAGTTTAGGGGGTTTGGGTTTAGGGGAGTTTTTCTAGGACTTTCGGCCCCAAGCCCTAAAGCGGTTTCTCTGCTTATAGCGATGAATGTTAAGAGTGATTGAAGTCGGCTTCTGTGCTGCAATTCGCACAGGGCCTGTGTCCAAGGCAAGATCCCTGGAATTCGCTGCGCCCCCTCCATGCCAGAGCAACCATCTAGCCCTCTAGGATCCTATAGGCCCTAACCCCTGAAGCCCAAACCCATCCAAACCCTAAACTCTAAGTACTTAACCCTGTCGAAATCTCTCCCAGCGCTCTCTTCGTGTTCGGAGTTCAACCCAGGCTTGACGTCGAAACCCTTTCGTGAGGTTCAGCCCACATAAAAACACCACCACCTACAACGTTTTGCAAGGACAAGACAGAGCAGGGGGGGTTGTAGGGTTAAGTTTAGGGTTTAGGGTTTCAAGGGTGCTGAACGGGTTTTAAGGCTTAAGGGTTTCAGGGTTTAGGGTTTATGGGTGGGTCTAACATAGAGGCCTTTGTAGTTAGAAAGGGTTTGACGAGTATAACACGTGGTTACGAAGCATGAAGGCCCCTTTTTCCTCTTTGAAAAAGGGAAGCTTCGGGTTTTAGGGTATTCGTGTTAGGGATGTTTGGGTTAGAGATTGTGTGCTTTGCTTGATACAGTTAGCATTGGCTTGTTTGTTCGTCTTCATATCTCTAACCCAGCCGTCAGCAATCAGTCCTCGAACTATACTTACCTCGAGTTGTGCCACTGGCACGATCAAGGACGAGGGTTTGCTTTCGCTTCTTCAGAGTTTGATTTCAGCTCCTTCAGAGTTCCTTAGATGTAGGGGTGGATGTTCAGAATATGGCGGCGGTATAGAACCCACCCCAAACCCAACCTTTCGAAACCGACCGCAGGGAGTGGCCATCCACCGTGAATCCTGAGCCCCAGACCCTACACACCCTCAGACCCTGCAAGAAGAAGCTAAATCCTAAGGGTTTAGGGTTTAGGGTTCAGGGTTTAGGGTTTAGGGGTTTAGGGTTTAGGGTGCACCTGGAACGAGTCAGCTGTCCTGGCGTGACGTTGCAAGCCAGTTTCAAGGGTGCACCGAGACTGAATGCTCGGCGTCCGCAATAGAAAGGTCGAGATGGTCAACGAGTTCTCCGACGCCCTGCGGACAGGTGCCTCCGGCCGCACGGTTTAGGGTTGCTCAAACCCTAAACCCTTCCTGGACTTAGGACCCTAAAGAACCTGCCTGTTTCGTGCTCCCTACATTATGATTTTCTAAAAAGGTAGGTTATTCAGTGTCCAGGT